ATAGCTAAAATGGTCATCTACAGTAACATCGGCAATACAATGGAAAAGTAACTCCAACCTTTCGTTTTCTGCTTATTACATAATTCAGATGGCCTCTCATTATGTTATTCCTAGGCCACGTACATTTCTCGATTTAGACTACAAGTGCGATGAGTAAAAAGTTTGCATTTAGCTTTCTTTACATTTACATTCTTCACAATTAAATAATGATTTCACATTTAACTTTGTTAACTCACCATATACTGTCTCATTACATTTACTATTATTGTTCACATGGAACTTCAAATCCCTCTATTGCCTTAATTACGACATGCTTATTATCGAATAACGATAATATCAAGAGCTCGTTATACTTCACATAAAAACGATATGTGTCCCATTAATATCTTGTTCCTGAATGGATCTTAAATGTTAAACACCTACAAATTAAATAGTACAAATAAATACATACGTAAATAATATTTCTACCGTCTCGTTGAAAAGTTTTGAGTTTCCCTATTTCACTATTTGAGTGTCTCATTTAAAAGTTCTCATTTCATTTTAGGAAATAATTTACTCTAGTTACACTTTTACTCAAATTTCTCTTTTCTATTCATTACATATCAAGTCTCACAATATATGTCCCCCAGGGCTGGTCCTGGGGCATGAGCAGGAGGGGTGTGCACTCAGGGCCCTTTGTTCCAGTAGGGCCCATAAATTTTTCAAACATATATGTGTGTTTACATAAATATTTTAATTATATATATATATATCCTAAATTTATAAATAATTAAAATAAAATCAAACTTATATTATTAGATACTTCTAATTTGTTATTTACCATCTACACGATACAAGTCTATTATTTAGAAACATCCACATTAGAATTCGTTTGGAACATATTTCACAATTTCTTTTGAATCATTACGGATTATTACATTAAATTTAATCTTTTAGTAACTTAGTGTACATGTCTTATGTATATCCAGAATTCATTGATGTATTTCACAAATTTCCTCCAATTCTCTCTTTAGTGAAAGATTGAACTTTAGTGTCCATAATTTAGAAACTTTGAATTTGTTTTTGTCTAGTGAAAATGTGATTTAAAATATGAAATAGTTACTCCTTATACAAGATATAACTTTCACAACTTTCTTTAATTCAAAATTTTTATTGTGACTTATATATAGCTGCAATACTTGTTTCACTCGACTGTTAGGTACATTGTATCATCGAATGTCACTTATCAATAGATTCAATACCCTCTATATATATATATTTTCTATCCATTTGCTTTGTTGGTTTTTTTGATGTGTTATATATACTAGTATTTTGACGATAATATTGTATAATTTTAAATTATACTAGTAGATTTTAATAGCAAAAAGAACATTATAAACATTCTCGCGCTATCCCTGAGGCCCAACCTATTTGTATTGTCCCGGGCCCATAAAATGTCAGGACCGGGCATGGTTCAGATTTCAGAACCAAAACATTGTTGAGTCACCACTAGGGGTGTAAACGAGCCGAGCCGAGCCCGAGCATGGGTATGCTTGAGCTTGAGCTTGATAAGAATTCACGAGCTCGAGCTCGATCTCGAGCTTGGACGAGTTACATATTTCGAGTTCGATCTCGAGCCGAGCTCAGCTCGAGCTGTATTCGAGCTTGATTCGAGCTCTGGTCAAGTTTCGCTAATTAATTTTTATAGATTTGAACTTGAATTAGATGCTCGAACTCGAGCTAAAAATATTATAGGTGTACTTTTTCATTCTCATTTTTAGGTTATTTCTTATTTACTAACATTTGTATTCTTATTTTATTGTCAATAAATATTAAGAGTACATATTATAATTATTACAGATTATGAGTATAATAATAATACTACACACATGTTATTATTTTTGTAATTATTACTATTATAATATACTCCATCTGTGATAAGTATTGAAATGGAATAGTCCTAAATTGGAATATATATTTCAAAGAGTGTATATATATATATAATTATTACATATATATTTATTATATACTCCCTCCGTCCCAATATAAAAGACACACTTTCCTTTTCGGTCTGTCCCAATATAAAAGGCACATTTCCCTTTTTGACAAACAAAACAGTGCAAAACAGTGCCAAACAGTGTCTAAACAGTGCCAAACAGTGTTCACCCTTAAAATGTCTAGAAACGCAAATGTGCCTTTTATATTGGGACGGAGGGAGTATAAAATATGACACAAAGGCTCGCGAACCGGCTCGCGAGCAACGAGCCTAAAATAAATAGGCTTGAATTGAGCTTGTTAACTATTCGAGTCGAGCCGAACTCGAGCCGAGCTTAATATGACCGAACTCGAGTCGAACTTTTCCCGAGCGATCCACGAGCGGCTTGGCTCATTTACACTTGCAAGCTGGGAAGCTTGGAATACTTTCATTGGCATCACTCCTATCAAATCGAAAAGGTTGTCGTTTATGGGAATCCTCACTCTTATTTTACTCTTAATAACATTCAACCCACAAAAAGATAAAGTTCATTTTTAATGGAATCTTGTTAAAAAGATTCATTCTCTAAAACCCTCTAAAACGCAATACGACGATTAAATTTGGGTATAGGGACGGTAGGGATCGGAGTATAGTCTTTATAAGAGCACTTTAGTGTATTCCAACTTCCAACATGTTTAAACACGCAAAGATGCATTTAAACTTACATCTAAGACCTGTAGCACCCTCACAATGTTCACTACCGGTGAAAGAGCAAATAAGGTTTAATTTCAACATTTGAAAAAAGTTAAAAGGTTTTATAGCCAAATATTTCAAAGAAACAATGAAACTTTGATCATTGGATAAAATACATTAATAAAGAAACCAAACATTTCTGAAAAATGAAATGAAAGGCTTTAGAGAAGAGAAGCTGCTATAGTCTATGTAGGGGTGGGCCCGGTCGATAGTTCCAGACCAGGTCCGACTTCGGTCCCGGGTCAAAACCAGGTACCCGACCGGGTAGAAGCGGTTACCGATCCCAAGTTCCAACATTTGGGACCGAATCGGGCGGTTCAAGTCCCGGTACGGATCAGTCCTAGACCGGCATGTTTTTAAGCATAAAAATCAAGTAAATAGACCAGAATGGGTCTGGGACCGGGACCGGACCGCCCAGGTACCCAGAATATAGCGGTTCGGTTCCGGACTTCTCGTTTCACATACCTGGACCGGCTAGTCCGGGACCGGTCCATGCTTAATTCTATTATCATACATATATTGATAATAGAATTCTTCACATCATTTGGACGGTGCTAATGGCTTAGTTGTTGACTCCAAGTTGACTTAATATACAGATACAAATTCATTTCTCATTGAACTCCAAAATTAGTACCCTGATATATAAGAGAAAAAACTAATTATTTAAATAGGACCTTGATTGGTATACGTGAGAGTATGAGATGAATACATTTTAGAAAACTTGAAAGGAACATCTAACATAATACGGAGTATAATTTTACTTAAATGGCATATTGTGGTGGCCTTGAGGAAAAAAAATCAAACATGAACATTTGCAGAGATTTGTCATGCTTATTGTCCATCATAACATCACAATTAAAGAGAATCACAGTTAAAGAGAAAGCAAAGACGATCACGCCTGCAATAATTTGACTGCTACAAATACATATTAGGCTTCTTTATTAACTTATAGATTAGCACAATTGTGTGATATTTATCTCATAAGTCATAACTTATAATGAGGCAGGGTTTTATTCACCAAATTAATTTTTGTCCTTGATTAGAACCAATCCATAATCCATTAAGAACGTACGTAGTAGCTTGGGTTTGTCTTACAAACTCAACTCATGAGAAAGTTGATAGGAACAAAAGTTCAGGAAGCAATTACAAACATCCCACCAGCACTGCCATGGGTAAAAAAAATTAAAAAGAACTTGTGTTGTGTTATACTATTCTACTTCTTTGCCATTGTAGGGATACAAATTGTGGTGAATAGTACTGTGCTATAATGCTTTTACGTATTAAGGTATTATACAATGGGTAAATTTTGGATCAGGGGCATAAAAGGAGGGAAGTCAAAACTATAGACTAGTAACCTATACTCCGTACTTTTCATCTTCTGCACTTCTGCCATCGTTTAATTCATGAAATTTACTAAGCGAATTTAATAATGGAGCAGCAATGTTATTAACTCGAGGCATTATCTATGTTTTATAAAGATAACATTTAGGTGCTCAAAAGTATCCTTTTTAAGATTTGATCTTCTAACTTACACATAGCAGGAGCATATAAAAGGGGAGTATCGCTACTCTAGGAAGCACGGAAACTCTCCATGGCTCACGTTTCCACGTTTCGAAAACTCGAAAGCATTTCGGAAACTCGGAAACTTCAAATTCCCGTTTCGGGGCCGTTTCCGTAATTAAGAAAAATTTGGAAACCCGTTTCACTACGTTTCGGAAATCTCGGATTCCAATTTTTTTTCTTTTTCAAAAGATTCTGTGGCGGAAAATTATTTTTTTATAGTGAATTTTTGTGGTATTTTGCAGCAACAACACTTGTTACATTTCGTAACGCAATGTATTGCTAGAAATGTATTACTCCGTACATTTTATGTTTAATTATGTACTAATATGAAATATTATCTAAATTTGAACATGTAGAGTGATTTTATTATTTGGTTGCTAAACAAATTATATTAAAAAAACATGTGCATATGGAAAAACTTATGTACATATATTAAAAAATATTTATAAATATATCCTTATATTTTATAATATTTACGCGTTTGCCCCACGTTTCGTGTCCTATATTTTTTTAGAAATTATGTTTCTCGCGTTTCCCGTTTCACGTTTCCTGTTTCCATGCTACTTAGTCGCTACTCAACCCCTTACATGTAAGGGAAACAGGCACAAATTAAGCAAACTTCTTAATGGAACAACATTATTATTACTTGAGAAATTATCAATAACCAAACATAATTTTACGGTAGCAAACAGGTTTAAAAGGTAAATAGAGAAGCAAGGGAGCGTAAAAAAATCTAAAATCAAATTTAGATCATATAACTTAATTGAGCAGGAATGGAATGCCGTTAGAACAAATTATCAAGGGATATGGTCTGAGAAGACTCACTTTGGGATTTTGCAAGAAATGCACCATTGGCAAGAATCCCATTACACACAAATTATCAAATTACTGTTAAATCCTTGCATAAATGGATGTATGAGTAAGTCTATAGGGCACGGATATACCGATAATTTTATAAAGATGGTGTACACCATGATGACCATGTAGCATTAGTCATTTATTTCCTCCTATGTCTCTCCCCCATGGGGATCACCAACCATAACTTCCATCTATAGAGAATAATATAAGAGAAATGCTTGGTACACTCATGATTATGCATCTTCCGGAGGTGGGAAGAAACACGGTGTGACTTCCGCACCGCACCATTGGTGGACTTCCTTTATTCTATCAGCTGACCTGCATATCCCGCTGCAGTTCCAATCAAATGAGACAACAGAGATGTTGCCTGCATGTGCTGTCAATTAATAATCTGCTCCAAAATGGTGTGGTGAAAGTGTGAAACTATGAAGATAATTAATAAATACATAAAGTTGTGGCATAGTAAAGTCTTATTATTAAGACTTTAATATCAATTCTAAATGATAAAACTGTGAAACTGACAGCAGGAGCAGTCCAAGATCATATATAATTATTGGTTCATGTTTTGCCATGTTTCTGATGTGTGATTACATAAGTCCATAACATAGAGAAGTTTTACCAGGTAGAGTTCCACAGCATAATCTTCTACCATCAGTGTGGTGCACATCGAGCCCAATAAACCAAGACCCCAATGAAACATCTTCATTAGCATATTTGTGGAGGACATGTCTATCCAACATTTAAAAAGAGTTATTGTCCTGCTTTGCACAAATAAAAGGTAGGCAAAAACCTATAATTGTTCATATCATTATAATGATAAGTAAATAAAAAGACCTTAACTGGTTAAGTGATACTTCGTATATGAGTAGCTAAGTCCTTTGAGATGGCATATAATTTTCCAATGGCATGACAGAAATATCTGTTTCCATTCTGCCCAAATGTCCAATACTCAGGTTCATGGTACTTCACTCACCCTTTCCATAAAAATTTAGTGAGATCTTATTCAAGATTTCAAGCTAATTGTATTTCTACTTTTCATTTTCATTAAATTTAGTTTATCTGCCTAGGGTGTGTACCCGCAACTTTGTGACCATTAGAGTTCAGATGTATCATCAGATTTCAGAGTAGAGTAATAGTACTATGAGTAATTGTGTGATAAACTGATAACTCTAGGGTCATTGTTAAGTCAAGGACTCAAGGCATAGGACTGATGCAATAAGGGAAGTACTTCCATGCTACATCCTTTGCAGGACAAATGTCCACAAAAACTAAGTTCCTTTTTAGGAGTTATATACCACAAAGAAAGTGTAAAACTGTATAGTTAGATTAATTTGTAGATAAATACTTAGTCTTATCTGATGTAAATCTCACACGTATGAGATAAAGATAGTTAGGTAGTCAGATCCTAATTTTTAGGATCTCATCATTTAGTTTGTTAGACTTGTATCCTATATATATTGTACCCGGGTGATGGAATAAATTAAGTCATTCTATTCTCTCAAACTTACATGGTATCAGAGCGGGCTGTTTAAACACCACAATGGTGGAAACCGAGCACTCTGGTTCTTCCCCTCACTCACAAACCCTTCACCCTAACTCCCAAATTAGCCAAATGACAAACTATCAGGCCTCGATTAATTCATCTATGCTCATTACTGGACATAGATTGAATGGAACTAATTATCTAGAATGGTCACAGTCTGTCAAGCTGGCAATTGATGGAAGAGGAAAGCTGGGATACATAACGGGTGAGATAGCAGAGAAGAAAAGTGGTGATGATGGCTACAGTGTCTGGAGGTCAGAAAACTCTTTGGTAACAGCCTGGCTTCTCAGTTCAATGGATGCATCAATCGCCAAACCTCACATGTTCATGAAAACTGCAAAAGAGGTATGGGATTCCATCAAAGAAACCTATTCAGATCTTGAGAACTCTTCTCAAATTTATGAATTAAAAACAAAGCTGTGGCAGTCTAAACAAGGCAGTAGAGATGTCATCTCATACTATAATGAGATGGTATCCCTATGGCAAGAGTTAGACCAATGCTATGATGCTGAAGAATGGGAAAGTGCCAAGGATCTGGCAAGACACAAAAAGAGGGAAGAAAATGATAGGGTCTATATGTTCCTAGCAGGAATTAATAGAGACCTGGATGAAGTTAAGGGAAGAATACTTGGAAAAAAACCTCTACCTTCAATCAGGGAGGTATTTTCTGAAATCAGGGTGGAAGATAGTAGGAAAAAGGTCATGAATAACACTTCAGTCCATCATGATGATCCAGGAGAGTCCTCAGCAATGATTGCCAAAGGAAATGAGAAGAAAAAGCCTTGGTGTGATCATTGCAAGAAACTGTGGCATACTAGGGAGACTTGTTGGAAGATTCATGGCAAACCACCTGGAGCAGGACAGAAAAAAGTTGAAAGGGCCCTACATACTGCCATACCTGAAACTGATCAAGAGCAACAAGTCAATTTCAAGCAGCCAATTTTCACCAAGGAGCAGATAGAGCAGCTCCTACAACTTCTTAATTCCCAAAAGAACCCTAAATCAGAAAACCCTTCTTGTTCTTTTGCTCAGAATGGTAAAATTGCATCATTTTTCTGTTCTGGAAAACCAAATGCCACCTGGGTCATTGACTCAGGTGCAACAGACCACATGACCTCCATTTCAAATCTATACTCTTCTTATAAACCTTGTGCAGGGGATAAGAAAATAAAAGTTGCAGATGGCTCTCTTTCAGCCATTGCAGGAACTGGAAATATTAAAGTTTCCACTTCTATTGACCTTTCTAAAGTCTTACATGTCCCAAATCTATCCTGTAATCTTGTTTCTGTTAGCAAATTAACCAAAGATCTTCAATGTTGTGTTAAATTCTATCCTTCCTATTGCATTTTTCAGGATCTGGCATCGGGGAAGATGATTGGCAGTGCTAGGGAAGAAGATGGACTCTATATATTTGATAAAGGGACTGAATCAAATAAACAAGGTCAAAGAACTACTTGTCTGCAAACTATTACGTTTCCCAGTGATAAGGAGTTGTATTTAATTCATTATAGACTAGGTCATCCTAGTTTCCATTATTTAAAAAAGTTGTTTCCTCAATTATTTCATAATAAAAATGTTTCACAGTTTCATTGTGATATGTGTACACTTGCAAAGCATCATAAAAATTCTTATCTTCCCCACAGTTACAAACCTACCAGCCCTTTTACTCTTCTGCATAGTGATATTTGGGGAGCATCTAGAATCCCTACTTTAAAAGGAAAGAGATGGTTTGTAACAATTATTGATGATCATACAAGAATGACATGGGTATTTTTGATCAAAGAAAAATCAGAAGTAGAAAATGTATTTAAGCAGTTTTATGCAATGGTCCAAACTCAATTCAATACCAATATAAAAATGGTAAGAAGTGATAATGGTCGTGAATACTTTTCTACAAACCTAAATCATTTTTTTGCTGAAAAAGGAATAATTCATCAAAGTTCTTGCATTAATACTCCTGCTCAGAATGGAATTGCTGAGAGAAAAAATAGGCATTTACTTGAAGTTACACGTGCAATCATGTTTTCAATGAAAGTTCCAAAATATTTATGGGGAGATGCTGTTTTACATGCTACCTATTTAATAAATAGGATGCCATCAAAAGTTTTAGGGTTCAAAACTCCAATTAGTATTCTGCAAGAATGTTACCCTACTACTAGATTGATTAGCACTCTTCCTTTAAAAATCTTTGGTTGCACTGTTTTTATTAAAAATCCAGACAAAACAGCAAGTAAATTTGATCCTAGAGGAACTAAGTGTGTCTTTTTAGGTATTTCATCCACACAGAAAGGGTATAAGTGCTTTGATCCTTCAACAAAAAAGATGTTTATTTCAATGGACACTGTTTTTGTTGAAAATCAAGTGTTTTTTGATACTCATCTTCAGGGGGAGAGTTTTAATGAAGATGCTACCAATGTGTCACATATTCATGACAATCTTGATTTTCTTGACATTAATCTAGATATGCATTCTATTAGAAACTTAGATGCATTAGAAAATGGTCAAGCATCAAAAAATAATGAAATGAATACAACTGATAAACTGGGAGGTGAAGAATTGCAGATCAGTAAGTTCTTTGGCAAGGTTTATGAGAGAAAGGTTCCAAATCAAAGAGAAGAGGAAGTCTTTGAACCTACATCTGTTAATGAATCTGACCAGATGTCAGTAAATGAAAAAGGTAATGACTCAACTGATCTTGATTTACCTATAGCTCTCAGAAAAGAAAGAAGGTCATGTGTCAAATATCCTATCTCAAACCATGTTTCTTATTCTAGATTATCCTCTACATTTGCAACCTTTTCTTCTATTGTCTCCTCTGTTTCTATCCCATCAACCATACAGGAAGCTCTATCTAAACCTGAGTGGAAAAAGGCTGTTTTGGAAGAGATGGATGCTCTTGAAAAGAATCAGACATGGAAGGTTGTAGAGCTACCTAAAGACAAGCCCACAGTTGGATGTAGATGGATTTTCACTCCTAAGTTCAAGGCAGATGGCACTCTTGAGAGGTATAAGGCAAGGTTAGTTGCCAAAGGTTATACACAAACCTATGGCATAGATTACACCGAGACCTTTGCTCCAGTTGCAAAGCTGAATACTATCAGAATTCTTCTATCCCTGGCTGCAAATTTAGATTGGCCTCTTCAACAGTTGGATGTGAAGAATGCTTTTTTAAATGGAAAACTTGAGGAGGAAGTTTACATGAATCCTCCTCCTGGGTTTGAAAACAAGTTTGGTTCAAGAGTATGTAAGCTAGAAAGATCCCTGTATGGACTCAAACAGTCCCCAAGGGCTTGGTTTGATAGGTTCACACAGTTTGTTAAAAAACAGGGATATAAACAGGCCCAAGCTGACCATACTCTATTTATAAAATGTTCAAGTAAGGGGGAGATTGCTATATTAATTGTCTATGTAGATGATATTATCATTACAGGAGACTTTCATGAAGAAACACAAAGCCTGAAGAAAAAACTTGCTGCTGAATTTGAAGTCAAAGATCTGGGAGATTTGAAATACTTTCTTGGCATGGAAATAGCTAGATCAAAAGAGGGAATAATTGTATCTCAAAGGAAGTATGTTTTAGATCTTCTTCAAGAAACAGGGATGAGTGCATGTAAACCAGCTGACACTCCTATAGACTCAAACCAGAAGTTAGGAGATGTCAGAGATGGGGTTCCAGTCAATGTGCAACAATATCAGAGATTGGTAGGAAGACTTATATACTTAGCACATACCAGACCTGATATTGCTTTTGCAGTTAGCATGGTAAGTCAGTTTATGCATTGTCCATATAAAGAACATCTTGAGGCAGCCTACAGAATTCTTAGGTATTTGAAAAGTTGTCCTGGAAAAGGTTTGTTTTTCAAAAAGAACCATAGTAGGGCAGTAGAGGCCTTCACAGATGCTGATTATGCAGGATCAGTAAGTGATAGAAGATCTACTTCAGGGTACTGCACTTATGTATGGGGAAATCTAGTGACTTGGAGAAGTAAGAAGCAGAATGTGGTAGCTAGAAGCAGTGCAGAGGCAGAATTCAGATCAATGGCCAATGGTATATGTGAACTTCTTTGGATCAAGAGGGTGATCAAAGAACTGAATATGGAATTGGAGTTACCTATGAGACTATATTGTGACAACAAGGCAGCTATTAGCATTGCACACAATCCAGTCCTACATGACAGAACAAAACACATTGAAGTGGATAGACACTTTATCAAAGAGAAAATCGAAGCTGGAATTGTGTGTACACCATTTGTGCCTACCAGGGATCAAACTGCTGATATTCTAACAAAAGGATTGTTCAAACCAGTGTTTGAAAAACTAGTAAGCAAGTTGGGAATGTATGATATATATTCACCAACTTGAGGGGGAGTGTAAAACTGTATAGTTAGATTAATTTGTAGATAAATACTTAGTCTTATCTGATGTAAATCTCACACGTATGAGATAAAGATAGTTAGGTAGTCAGATCCTAATTTTTAGGATCTCATCATTTAGTTTGTTAGACTTGTATCCTATATATATTGTACCCGGGTGATGGAATAAATTAAGTCATTCTATTCTCTCAAACTTACAGAAAGGAATTATGTTATTTAGAAAAATTTAAACTAAGTTATATACCTTGACATCTGACCCCCTTACCCCACCGTAGGTGGGAGCCTTTGCGGCACTGGGGTAATGATGATGATGAGAAAAATTTACTACTTATTACTCTTATCTAAGGCAATTCCTCTGAAGTCTAAACCCAACAATGGGTTAAAAAAGGGTGGGTCTAACTCAATTTTTCGAAAAATATGTAAATGGCAGTTCACTTACTTTTGAGAAAGAGCAGGACCGGATTTCATGCAGCCAATATACACTCGTGGTTTCTTCTGATGCCTGGCTAGCGTTTCCCCTAATGTTCCTGTAGCCGTTGAATTCCCCATAACAGTGATCATATTTTACTAAGGAAAGAAAAGGTTGCACAATTAATCTAAAGACAATTGAATACTTTTATTTACATGGACATCATCATCAACTTTGATGTAGTACTATGCACCCCATAACTTAACAGCAGTGGAAAAATAAGTCTTTGTATTTGCAGACAACTCAAGATACCCATCCACATGATCCTAATTCCTAATTAAACAGACACACATGGAAATGATGAGGAAACATTTATAAGCATAGCATGATGGCATGTGTGACATACTGACATTGGTTGAAAAACGTTAGTTCTTTTCAATACTTAGTTAGGGAAAACCTGTGCGCTTAGCTTTTTACTACGACCGCTTGTTGCCTCTTTCGGAAAACTTTAACTCCAAATCCTTTATCTTGAAATTGAGAATAGAGAAAGCATATTAAAATTAAGTTTAATGAAAATAGAAAGAATAATTGAAAATCTGAAACAGAAAGATGATTGAAATGCAGCACATTTAGTATGAACAATACATTATAATTCAACTGTGAGTGAAAATCAACAAACATGAAACTAAATTTATAAACCTTAGAGATTATTTGCCAACTTATTACCAATGTAAAAAAAGTATTAAGTCAGATTAACAATGATCCAGCCTATCAATTACACTAATAGATTATTTCCAGCCTTCCATTGTTTTAGGGGAAAATGGGGAGATAATTTATGTGACATTGATCAGACTTCATGTTTGCCTGGCTTAAATTGTTTTAAAACATGGATACCTTCAAGGACAATGTAATCAAAGTATACTTGCAGAATCTTTGGTGTGATAAAAAGTAAAAACATCCGTAAAACTTAACAAATGGCAACATCTTAGCCTTACACATCTGTTTTGATCAAAGAAAAGTAACTGGAATCACTTTCCTTCTAAGGTAAGTAATTGTCTACAAAGGTAATTTCTAGAATACTTTTTTAGGATAGTGCGAAACCAAAATTTTCAATCAGAGACTAAGATGATTCATACAAATGCCATACACTTTATCTGATTTCTCTATGATATATACTTGTTAACTGTTGCAAATACAAATAAAATATGGAGGTTGAGTTGTCAACAGCCATAGAAGTTCTTGCTTAAAATGTGGTTTGTGAGTGAAATAAATGTATGATTCATCCTATCTGCTCATACCATCCCCATTCTTAAATAAATTCATCCAACCATGAGATCTTGTGTAGTACCCAGAAAAACCTAAAAGCTCTTCTTGCCAATAATAGTATAATATCTTATCTGAAATAAGTTCTTCACATTACCTAGGTCATGCTTTGCTGGAAATGAGCTTAGAAAAAATAAAAACAAAAACATTTAACGCAGAAGCAGATTACCAGTGGGAGATTGTATGATCAATCAGCTAATCTGGTGGCTTTGCACGACATTAGGCCACTGCAAGGTTGCAAGAGATTGTATTATATCTTGTCTTGATATAAACATATATAATAGATAATGCATATTACAATATTGTCTACCAATAACCAAGATGCTGGGAAGATAATTCTGCATCCCAATATCACATATTGTTGCTGCTGCTCGACTTTATCCAGTCTCTCATTGCTCGTATTTCGTAAAAGCAGAGCTGATGAGTGATGATACTAATCTGGCCAAAGATCCTTTCACTGCTTCACATATGTTTCAAAACAAACCAGAGTTAATTTAGAGTATTAAATGTCCCAAGTTAACTTACAGAAAGAAATAGTTTTTTTCTTTCCTATCTACTAATGATATGTGTACTCGCTACTACAGCGCTTTGGCATTTTCGCATAACGCCATATTTTGTTCTCTACTTTTTTCCCTGTTTTTTTTTGTTTAAATATGTATCGTTTTACTTTCAGGGTTTAGACAACATGTATATCATTGATCTGCCTCCCAAATTACATGAAAAAATCATGAAAACAAATATTATGAAAAACAGATGCAAATTATCAATTTCTATTAAAGTACATAGATCAACAAATAAACTTCACATCCAATTGGCCATTTTTAAAAAAAATACTAAAATCTAAGATTTATTCAAGAAGATGAAATACCTGACGGAAAAAAAATCAATCTAGAACTCAAATTTCCTCAACAGGCAAACTTCTGTTCAATCGAAATAGTCTTTGATCTTATACTGCTAAAAAAACAGCATAGTTCTCAAATTTCAATGTGACAGAAGTGTGTTATCAGCCTCAACAAAAGTGTGTGTATCTTCAGACAAGATTTTTCACCTCTATGATTCTATCTTATATTATTATGTAGTTTGCTAGTGCCTTGTTCAAAGAAGACTTGATTTTGAGAAAATCGAAATTAAGGATTCACCATTCATATGGGATGATTCATCCTATTTCAAGACAAGGTGATCAACCAACATGTAGACAAACTACATCCATCATCTGTGCAGTTAAACTCTTCAATGCATTTCGAATTGCCGCTTTTTGTGCTCTTGAGTCATCGTCATCAGCATGAAACACGACTAAATGATTTTTATCTTCAATCCAGCTACATCCTGGTTGTTTCTCTCCTCTATTATCTATCATTGTTTCCCTAACTCTTTCTACTTCATTCCATCTCCCTATCTCAGCATACATGTTTGCAACAGTTACCAAATTTGAGGATTTATGGGGTTCAATTTCATTGAGCTTCTTAGAAGAAAAGCTAGCAAGCTGCACATTGTTATGCATTCTACAAGCCCACTGCAGAGAGCCCCATATTGCTGGGGTGACTTTCACTTTCATCTTTGTAACCAAATGAAATGCTTCTTCTAATCTGCCTGCTCGGCCAAGTAAGTGAAGTATACACCCATAGTGTTCAGTCACTGGCTCGATAGAGTACTTTTTACTCAGGGATTCAATTAAATTTAGACCAAGATCAACTAAGCCAGCATGAGTACATGCAGACAGAACTCCAACAAATGTTACTTCATCTGGATTTATCCCCTTTCCTTCCATTTCCTGGAACAGTTTGACTGCCTCTTTACCATGTCCATTTAAGGCATAACCGGCAATCAAAGAATTCCAAGACACAACATCTGCGTCATCAAGATCACAAAATACCTTTTTGGCATTAATGATTTGTCCACATTTTGCATACATAGTGATTAAGGCATTAGAAATAGATAAATATTTTGCAAACCCGCCTCTCATAATTGCTTGGTGAAGTTGCCCCCCAGCATATTCAAGAGCAAGATTGGCACATGAACGTAATACAGAAGCAAATGTAGATTGATCAGGCTTCTTTCCGTCACGTGCCATTGAAACAAAAAACTTTAGAGCATCTACATAAAAACCACTTTGTGTACACCCTGAAATTAGAGAGTTCCAAGAAACTGCATTCCTTTCCTTTATGCTCTCTAGCATATCAAAAGCTTTTTCTATTTTTCCTACTTGAGCATACCCAGCAATCAAGGTGTTCCAAATAACTATACTTTTTTTATCCATCTTTTTATATAGATAGAAAGCCTCATCCATCTTCCCAGATTGAGCATAACCCGCAACCATGGTGTTCCAACAAGCAATGTCACGAGAGCCCATCTGATCAAAGATTTTACGACCATCATCTATCATATTATGTTGTATATATCCTGAAATCATTGCGGTTTGTGCAACCACATTTTTGTATGGCATTGTATCTAACAAGGTCTTTGCCTGCTCAAGCTTTCCTATGCGCGCAAGACCACTAATCATGGTAGTATAAGAAACATCATTTCTTTCTGTCATTTCATTAAACATATTGCCAGCATCACCAATGTGGCCATTTTGGACATATACAGCCAACATTGCATTCCTTGCAACCAAATTCTTTCCGGTCATTTGATCAAATACCCTCCGAGCTTGCAATATATAACCATAATGCCCATATCCACTCAACATCGTGACCCAAGAAACAACATTTCGACAAGGAATCTTCTCAAAGAACTCCCAAGCGGAGTCCAAGTCACCCGCCTCAACGAATCCAGACACCACCAGGTTCCATGAAACAATATCTTTTTCATCCATCTCATTAAAAAACTTCAGTCCAAGTTCCATTTCCCCATTCTGCGTATAACCCAAAAGCATCGAGTTCCAAGACACTAAATTTCTAACAGGCATCCTATCAAACAATATCCTAGCTTCACTAAACCTACCGTTTTTCACATAACCTGTAATCATTGCATTACAACAAGCAACATCGGTCATATCAGAAAGTAAATCAAATGTTTCTCGTGCCTTATCAATCGATCCATAACGCGAATAGCAGGTAATCATCAATGCATATGTGAAACAGTCCCGTTCAGGCATTTCCTTGAACAGATTGCAAGCATAATCAATCTGGTCATTGTATATGTAGCCACTGATTAATGTGTTCCAAGAAACCAAGTTCCTATTCGGCATTTTATCAAACAGAAGACGTGCGTGTTCTGTTCTGCCATTTTTTGCATAGGAAGAGATCATGGAGTTGTAGGTGACAGTGTTAGGGTGTGTTATTTTCCTGAACACTCTAATGGCCTCTTCGATTTGGCCCCTTTTCCCCAATGAAATTATTTTTTTATTTAGCTGGACAATGTTGCTTCTTCTACGTACGGTTGACTGCATCTTACTATATACAAAAAGGAGGTATAATTAATCTTCCAGCCCAAGAACATAGGTGGTCATCCTGGTGAAATGGGTCAAACATATAAGACCTGAAATAAATAAATGAAGTGCCTTTAGAGTTAAAATGAGGTGTTCAAAAGTCAATTATTTTCATCACGAGTATGAGTATCTTACATCATTAAGATGAGACAGCATGAAAACAATAAATGGCTGCTACATCATTAAATTGCTTGGGATGTTTTTCAGTGTTTCCCCCGAGTAGTAATGATCAGAAAAAACATGCAATGAATAATGCATCAAGCATTTTCCAAGACGAATCATAAATGAAGAGGTCCAATGATATTCAGGCCTGTTGCAATTAAAGGCGAATCTTATTTTACGCCATAAGAAAGCTAACGCCTTTTAGACTGAGGCGTACGATATAAGGCGTGTGATACAAACCGCAGAAATTTGCACCTATTTTAAGTCCTTCAGACGTCCCTGACTTATCTTTTGTAGAAAGTCCATGGTTTGAACTTCTATTGCTATTATTACTACTACTTGTTGATAGGCACCGGGCCGTTTAGTGCTAATAATAATAAGTGTTAATATTAATAATTGTAAGGGAGTATAAATAAAAGCTAAGGGGGTAATAAGGGGTAGCCGGGTAGGCAGAAATTACTTGAGACTGGGAACTGGGAGTGTGAGACTACTCAAAGCGTCTCACTTGTATTTTCCATTTCTATTCTTCTCTTTCTTGTACGTTCGGCTACCTTCTGCCATTGTATTTGCTTCAAGGATTCAGAGCTTCTCTGTTTTTACCTACTTAATATACATAAACTGCCTAGACTTTATCACTTGTTAAAATCTCATACTTAAACTTTGGGTATAAAACTCATTTTGTTCATTTTGGGTGAAATTGTTTGATTTTCTAAAGGTTTGTTTGGATGTAATTTCACAAACAAATCATAAAACTTTACTTCACAGTAACCTTATATTAATATAACCGCTATATGATTAAGATTTGATGATTTTGATTCGAATTAACATAATGATGGGTGTAAATTTAGATAAATTGTTAATTTTATTTGAGTCTACATACATCTAGTAAATTCTCTAAAGGTATACCTCTAATGAAAGATTAGAATGGTGTATCATACAGGGACAGAAGGCTGAAGGCACTGATGGGATGAGTTCCTTCAGAGACAACGAATAAACATATTTCTTTTCTATCAACTTAAATATACGGGTTTATAGTCTAAATCTAAAAAGTGAAAATCAAAGTTCATCGGAGCAAAACAACTCATGAATTCAAGCTTCAAATTAGTGATAATGTCAAAGAAAGAGGCTAAGGAAAATGAATTGATATTTGATATGCATGCTAAGCTTCAAGGCTTACTTGCTTGTTAAAGAACAGAGACGCTGGTTCTCAGCGGAAAACCCTCCGGCCTCCGCCGCCCCCCTCCGCCCTGAATGGACTGACACTTCGTCCGCCTTCTCGAGTGGGTTCCAAATATCCTTCTTGCGTCTTGACTTTTGATACGCCGCAGGTAACATCCTTAGGTGTCTCTAGGATTATTACACTAAGCATTTTAGAAGTTCATACACTAAAGATGTTTTGTTTTGGACTGTTTTCAGTCCCAGACCAGACCAGACTTAAACAGACCAGACCAGACCAGACTTAAGCAGATCAGACCAGACCAGACTTAAACAGACCAGACCAGACCAGACTTCCGTAGTTATAAAATACACAGAGACCAGACGTTTACCAGACCAGACCAGACCAGTTCAGACCAGACCAGACCAGACCAGACCAGACTTAAATAGACCAGACCAGACCAAACCAGACTTAAACAGACCAGACCAGACCAGCAAATTTCAGTCCAAAAGAAAACATCCTAATTTACATTATTATGAATTGCACTTGTAAATCAACAAAAATAGAGGTGTACAAATTGTGTATAACAAAATGGTGTGCGAATAGATAATTCCATTATATTCTACAACCTTCTGTTAACCGATAGGAGAGCTTCTGTCACAGAGGGGCTGTGTAACAGAAGTCCTTTCCTGCAGATGTTCTGTTAGAGAGGGGTTCTGCAACAGAGAGTCTATCAATAGAACATCTTCCCTTTAATGATCTCTGGGTATGTCATCCATCATCCATCAACGAAAATCGGTACTCTGGGTATGTCATCCATCATTCCAAGTTCTTCGGTTGATTTGGCTGATTTTGCTGAAATTTATGAAATTCTGGATGAAGTGGCTGTTTTCAGAAAAAAAAAATATTTTAAAATATATTTTATTAATAAAACAAAGAAAAAATTACATGTAAAATAGCTAAAATGGTCATCTACAGTAATTTCAGCCAATACAGCCAGAAAAGTGACTCTAATCTTACATTTTCTGCTTATTACACAATTCAACGCACAAAATCAACAATTACGTGTTTGGTGAAAAAATTGGCTGATAAGTCTGATTTTAACCTGAAAAACAGTGTTGCCAAATGAATAGGTTACAGTTGTCAGCTAAATTCCATTTTTTTGTTTAATGTTTGTTTAGGCTCATAATTACTTTTTGCCACGAATTTCACTATGTTTTACTAGTGCTACCGTATTTGTTTTAGGCAATGTTTTTAATTATTTATATCCAAAATTTTCTTTTATTCTTAGTGGGTTTTAATTTTCATATCATCATTTGAAATTTTGTTTCGAGTATAATCGTATATATACTTTAATTTGCATTGTACTATACTAGTATCTGTACCCGTGCCGCGCACGGGATAAACGATACTTTGATACGAACTATTTGTGTGTATCCGTTTGTATTTTTATAATGAAACACTTTTTGTGATAAGATATTTATAAATGAGGACTTCTAGTGTTTGTGTGTGTCTATGATCACATATTTTTATAATTTTTACGTAATTTGAGAGAATTAGATAAATAGTTTTTTTTATTTTTTAAAAATGTTTGGAAGGTGGCCGGAAAGATATTATAATTCATCTTAAAAGCTCCATATGAAATGATACATAAAAAGATTAAAGTAAAAGTGAAAATATACCAAAATATCAATTGAATTGAAATCATTTCAATGGTCCATATTTTAATAATAATAATAATAATAATAGTAATAATAATAAAATACATATCATATCAAATTAAAGCAATCTAAATTACTTTTAAATAAAAAATCATTCAAACTGAAAACATTGCTATAATTTTGAGATCAATGGCATAGTACAAAAGTGCATTTACCAAATTATAACACCTATAGTGTTGGTGCTTTAACAATCCTTGTTCACTTTCTTTCAAAATATATTTATAATGATTTATGTGGTTACTCCAAATCTCTACAAATACTACGTACAATTCTATTTTTAGACGGATTAATTATTACGGAGCACTCCACCATAATTTTATTTTAGTGTACTTGTTAGAGTAAACTGATTTTCCTTTAGAAAAGATTAAATAATTTTGAAGGGCCACTTTTCCAGCCACATGCCGTGCGGCCGTGCCGTCCTCATCCCCATCTCACCTTCTACCGAATACGCCGCATCTATTTTCATTTCACCTATATACTACAATCTTCCAACTTATTTTTTGTTTTATCATATATCGATCTGAATCCATAGGTTTCTAATTTCATTTCTACATTATTCTACTGGGAATTGGTTTAGAATATCCACATCCTTATTTAAAGATTTGGCTCTACTTCTAAGGACAATCATCTTCACAGTCCTCCTTTCCCGTTCTCGGTAATCCTGGTTTCTTCTATTTTCTTTTTGCTCAACAATCTCATTGAGAAGTTTGTGGGTCAGAGCTATTAAACACAACTTATCTTTAATTTGAAACATTGACTTATAGAGTTAAATGAACTCAGTAGGGGTGGCCCTAGGGGAGATCAAATGCCCTAAGCCCTACACAATGAAAAAAGTCATACCCATGAATCCATGATAAGTTTTCTTTATAATAAGTGTGAGTAGCCTGATTTTTCAATCCTAAACTAATAATTTATAGGGTGAATATTTTTAGGTTCTTCTGGGTGAATTTTTATACGAAATTTTATGAAAACGTTCTCTATGAAATGTAAATTATGTCCATAATTTTAGTTTAAAGTTCAATCTAGAAGTCAATTGAATAAATTATTTAAAACTGTTGTGTTTTTATGCATATTTTGGTGTAGTGTTTTTCAATAATTTGTTTAACTGACTTTCCGATTGAATTTTAAGATGAAGTTTTGTAGATACAATCTAAATTTGATGCCAATCATGCTCACAAAATTTTGTAAAAAGAAATCCACTTGGAAGCATATTTGTCAGATATGATTGTTTGATTGGTTTATTAACCAATTTCATTCATACAAAATTGTTTGATTTCTTTATTTTTTATTGTATCTATTAATTGTTGTTGTTTTAATTTGTTGATTTTGTTAGACAATTGTTTTTTTACTATAATCAAATTTATAAATTTAATTAATTTCAAGGTGTAATAGAAATGATTGAATCTGGATAGGATAACGAAAAGAGAGAGGAGATGATTAGAGAAAACGGTACTAAGTAAATAATTGAATGGAAAAGTTTGTATAAGGAAGTCAAATTATGAATGTCCTCCTCAAGATGAGAACTCAGAAAAGAAGAATGGTATAACTCAGAATGAAACGGCTCAGAGTGATCACATCATTGATGGGAGAATTTTAGGAGTCGATAATAACCAAGCTAATTCCTTAAAATAGGACTAACACACGAGTAAAGTGCACAAATATGACCACCATTTTTTCTTTCCTAAATAAGAACAACCAATATTAAAATATTATTGATTTAGACAGAAGATAGTTTTAATCTGTTGTATAAATGTATTGAAATATTATTTTTATTGTGCATGTTATTAGTTTAGACATAAAATGATTTTACATTTTCTTAAGATTAGGCCCATTTTAACTCGTCGTTCCTAGGCCTTCAATCATAGAGGACCGGCCCTAGAACTCCGTGCATAAATTCATACATGAATAAAATTCATATTCATGATTTTGAATTGTTTTTAAGATTTGTTTTTTTCAATTAGATCGTTATCAATAAATTTTCTTTTGAGGTTTCCTGTATAAATTTTTAAGTCCATTTTTGCATTTTTGCACTTTCTTAGTCAATAGTGCTCAAGTTTGACCAATGAAATATGAAAATTATGAGCCCGTTTGGTGAGCATGTTTTTTGGCTTGTTAGGCTTATAGCAAACTTTTTTTTATCAAACACGTAACTTTTGATTTTGCACGCTGAAATGTGTAATAATACGAAAAAGTAAGACTGAAGTTACTTTTCTGGCTATATTAGCTGAAGTTACTATAGATTGCCATTTAACTATTTTTCAAATAATTTTTCATTAAATTATTAGTAAAATAATTTCCCAGCAACTTCAGCCAAAATTTTATAAATTTCAGCAGAATCGGCTGATGTAGCCAATTTTGGTATTACCAACCGGGCACTATATGAGCTTATTCTTTATTTAAAAATCTTTGGTAAGAGTAAAAATTATAAATTACACACAAATATAATACCTAAAAATCATTGTCTAAACTTTAACAACATTGACCATGAAAAGTCAAACTGGTTAATCTTTTTTTGATGAAGGGAGTTTTTTTTTTGTTTCTAGTTTTTTTTTAATCTCAGGGGGGCGTTGGGGGAGGGGGTTTGGGGAGCTTGGGATAAACTGGGTTCAATCTCACTCCATTGAAAATTAAAACTGGGAACTCCCATAAGGATTTAAAATACAATTGTTACAAAAAAATATCAAAACTCATAACTTTTTATTATCTTTTATATTTTACAAATATTGAATATATAAAAATGAAAAATAATTTTACACTTTAAAGCTTCAGTTTTTTAAGTGCTAGAATTTTTTTATACTACGATTGTTACAAAAAATATATTAGAATTCCTGAAAATTTTATTACTTTTCATAGGACTTCAATGTTTCATATATAAATAAAATCTATTAATATGTGCGGTTTACGATCGTTTTTTACCATGCACACTATTAATCGGAGTGATAGCTTAGAATAAAATAGCGCATATTCTACCACTAAGAATAAAACAATAAATAAAAATGATGGAATTTGTGCGGTTTTATTCTAAGGTATTGGTCCTCATTAATTGTGTGTACAGTAAAAAACGATCTAAATTGCCAAAAATTAATAAAATTATTACTTTTATATATGCAATATTGGTGTCATATGAAAGATAATAAAAAGTTATGGATGTTGATAATTTTTTTGTAACAATCGGACTACAAATAAAAAAAATATATCACATTAAAATAAATATGAGATTTTATTTTTTGAATTACATACCTTTAGAAAGTTTTAATTAGGTAGGATTCCAATACCTTTAGTATTAACGTAACATTAGTTCTACCATACTGAAATTACGTAAAATTAATGTAACCGAAGTACTTGTATAATTAGTATGCTAAATTTGCGATGATATATGGCAAACTTTCCATAATTATAGCTGTGAATTGTATTATACGTGACATGAGTTCAAATCTACCTTTAATACTAATTTTA